TTTTTTGTTGATTCTCTTAATTCCACTTCCTTCCCTTGCAGAAACAGGCAATTTTAGTTGCTCACGTTTACTGTGAGCGTAGGGCAAGATGTCCCACGAGGAGCGGGATAGAATACAAGCAAAACATGAGATCCCTTAAGTCTGGATGTCTCGGTTGTAAAAATATGACATGCTATGTATATTTTAGTCACAGCTGTAATGAAATTTGATTTTTGGCCTCCGTGCTGCAAAGACTTGCATCCATGCATCACTTAATGCATGTGAACTATCTCATTGAAGTAATAATTCATATGCATAAGGGTTAGCACATGTGTAAGTCTTTGCAAGGTCACCTCCTTAGACTGTGATATAATGAACCTTTAGTTAGTGTTATTTTAAGACCCATATCATCCTAACAACATGAGAGAGAGAGGGAAACAAAAGCATTCTGGATTACTGCTTGTAAATGTACATTTAAGTTGACCAGAAGTTTTTCTGCACCTTTCTTACTGCTTTCCGCTAAGGGGAAAACAAAAGCAGTTATCAAATGAAGAATTCGGCATCTTCAGAACTTGTACAACATTGGTGCAATGTTCTGCTGTGTGTTGTCTAAGACTCCCAGTTTTCTGGGTCTAAATAAGCAAAGTTAAGCACAAATAAAGGCCATGACTACACTTGCAGATGTACAGTGCTGCGAGTTAAACCTGCCTTCGTACAGCTGAGTAGGGAAAGCGCTGCAGTCTGTCCATACTGACAGCTGACAGCGCACTGTCGTAGCCACATTTGCGGCACTTGCGGCAGCATTGGGAGCGGTGCATTATGGGCAGCTATCCCACAGAGCACCTCTTCCCATTCTGGCGCCATGGGTTGTGGGAAGGGGGCGTGGGTGTGGGGCATTCTGGGTCCTGTTCCAATGCCCCGTGATGCATCACTTCACATCCCAGCAATCCCGGTGTTTCCGTCCACATTTGGCGCCATCTTTCAATGCCATCTTTCAACAGTTTCTGTGCAGCGCGATCTATGTTCCGTTTCGGTCTGCGGGAAATGGAGCCTGAACTGCTGAGGAGTATGCTGACGAGTCTCGCCAGCACGTCACATTTGGCAGTCAAGCTATTCCTTAAGATCCAAAGTGACAGTGAGGAGTCCAACGATGATATCGAGTCGCGTAACACGTACAACATGAACTTGCTTGTGGCATTCATGGTCATGCTCAGCACCGTGGACCTCCGCTTTTGGTCTCGGGAAACAAGCACTGAGTGGTGGGATCACATCGTCATGCAAGTCTGGGATGATGAGCAGTGGCTGCAGAACTTTCGGATGAGAAAAGCCACTTTCATGGGACTGTGTGAGGAGCTCGCCCCCACCCTGCGCGCAAGGACACGAGATTGAGAGCTGCCCCGCTGGTGGAGAAGCGGGTGGCTATTGCAATCTGGAAGCTGGCAACTCCAGACAGCTACTGATCGGTTGCGAACCAGTTTGGAGTGGAAAAGTCGATCATTGGAATCGTGTTGATGCACGTTTGCAAGGCCATTAATCGCATCCTGCTCAGAAGAACTGTGACTCTGGGTAATGTGCAGGACATTATGGATGGCTTTGCAAAAATGGTGTCAAGTATCAGAGGGGTAGC